AAAAAAAAGAAGAACAAAGTAAAAATTTTTCTCTAGTCAGTATTATTCTACACTTTCTATTCTGATCAAGGAGTCCTGGCATGATGTTGTGGGTTAATACGCTGGGCTGCAAAGGTTGGTTTGAATTGCATGGTTGGCAGTTCAAGCTTACTAGCTGCTCCTCGGAAATCCTATACAGGGTTGTTATGGGTCAGAACTGACTCAATGGAACTTAACAACAACAACAACAACATCCTGATTGTACTTGCTAATCAAACTATTAATTTACAATGGGACCATTTGAATTTTGTCTCTTTGCTCTATCTAGCTTTGCTCTACTGAAGACCAACCAGTTTCTTGGTAAAGTGAAGGCTCAATGAGAACAAGGTTGACCCTCAGGAAGAAGGACTGACACAGTGGAAACAACAACAATGGGTACAAACATAACAACTGTAAAGACCCCACGGGGATCGGCAGTATTTGGTTCTGTTATGCACAGGACTGCAATGAGCTGGAGCCGGCTTGACAACACCTAGCAACAAGCCTTCAGGGAGATTGTTAATCCTTAAAGGAATGGACAAAAAGCAAGCAAGAAGAAGGGATGTGATTCTGAAGAGTTTCCTTTAGCTGTTTGTTAAACATTTCAATTAAAAAACGGAGGCCACATGGATAAGGCCTGAGGAAAGCATTATAAAGGTTTCTGCAAAATGACTTTAGTTCCATGCAGAATTTTCATGCCACTAGAATTCAGAGCAGTTTTAGATAGCTAAGTAAAAATGTGTTAAGTCCTTAATTTGGATTAAGGTATTTTGGAAAAGTATGTTTCTGTAATATAAACTGTTACTATAAATTATAAACACACATTGTTTCTTATAAAGCCACATCACTTACCTAATGAAAGACACAAAACCTGAAGATAAAACATGAGCTGAAAGTCCAAGGCATATTATAATCAAACTTTTCTAAATCCAAGATAAGGAAAGAATTCTGAGAGCTGCTCAAAAATGAAGAAAAGTTACCTACAAAGGAGAACTAATAAGGCCAAGCTCTGGTTTCTCAGTAGAAACCATGCAAGAAAGAAGACAATGGAATGATATATATAAAACTCAGGAAGAAAAAAATTGCCAACCAAGAATCGTATATCCAGCAAAATTGTCCATCAAATGTGATAGTGAAATGAGATCATTTTCAGATAGAAATTAAAAGAATGTATACAAACCAACCTTATAAAAATACTTAAGGGAGTTCTTTGGACAGAGACCCCACAGCAGCAGACAACAACCTGATACTAACATACACGACAATACTACCTGACTCAAACCAGATGTGGAAGTATTCAAAGTAAAACAGACCCACATGACTGAAATTAGAGAACCAGAGATCCACAGTTGCAACAACAAAA